AATAGATAGTGCTTACGATGAAGAGACTAAAGTATCAGAAATCGATATGAATTTCTTCTTTAAATTTATGCGACATCCGAATTCTCACTATACTAAGTCAACTTACCTTGTATACAATAAAAAAATTCTGTTAATAGATTAACATAACAGGATTTTCGATCGGTTAATTTTTGATCGATTGCGTGCTGAACATTATTCCATAGTTCACTAAAGAAGTGTTCAATAATTTTCGTCGGATTTTCAATATAATCTAAATGCCATTGAGCATCATGATGAGTCAATAATTGTCCATCACAACGATCTTGTATCCATTTTCGATTGAGATTATCATAAGTTTTCAATTCTGTATTAATAATACCTTGTCCATCATCGACTAATAATTTTATTAGATGTTCTTTGAATTGTATACCAAGATTGATTGCATAATTTTCATCAACTGAAGCATTAGGAACAACCATACTAATGAAATATTTCTTCAAATCATCTTTTTTTGTTTCTAATTCTAATAAAGTTTGAGAAAAATGATTCATCTGTTCATCATAATAATATTTAGTAAGCAAAACTACTGCACAAGTATGAAATGTTGATTTTAATTGCTGAGATAAACTTAAACAAAATGGAGCTAATTCATTATTAATATCAATTGTTAATGAATTGATTAAACCAACAATTTTTTGTATTAATTCTGTTCGAATTTGTCTTACTTTATCATTTCCAACACCATGCATTGCTTTGATTATTCGTGCAATAACTTCTTTAAAAACTTTTGATGTACCAAAATACACATTGCGTTCATCTAAAAGTGCTCCTGTTACATTAATTGGTTTTTGTTGACAAATAGTATTTCTGACATCAGCTTGAAATTGATCTGTTGTGGCAAGAATTGGTGGTGAATCTTGTTTGTCATCTTTTCCAACACGAAACGGTGCAGTCACGCAATTTAATGTTCGACTTATCATGGACCTATTTTTGTTATGATGTCGATCTCCATCCTTTCGCTGATGTGTATCCAAATATGAATCTGTTTGATTGATAAATGTAAGAAAATTTCGTTCTAATAATTCTTTACTCAAATAGATCAGATTTTTGATTATATCCAAAGAATAAAGTGTGGGCGGATTGAAATGCTGAACTGTCACTGAACTATGTTGATAACCAAGATGTGAACATCTCATAATTAATTCATCTTCTACTTGATTGATCGGTGCTTGACTATCATTGAGATTCGATAACAATGAAAGATGATGAGAAATATCTGCAAATTCTAGTAAATATTCTTTTTCATAGATATTATAATTTGTATAAATATGTTTAATAGCTTGTTTCAAACGT